TCTGTCCTAAGGTGATTCTATGTGTTCTATATGTTCTATTCTATCCTTTCTATATTGAACAGAAATACACCACCTGTTGGTCTTGGATCTACCCTCTTGAGCCATAAACAATAATATCTGCAATGTCTCCACACTTTCCAGTTTCTTTCAACTGTTCTTCATATTGTATTCCCAGACCCTTTTACTTCCTTGATCACATTTTTAGGGTACACCTCATTTTGTTGTAATCCCCTGTGCGTAATTTGAATCTAGCCCTTCTGCTGGATGAATATGCCGGATTTGTCTAGACTGTGAGAGCAAGGGATGTATTTATCTTCTTCTACCAGCAAGTGGTAATGCCTGAAATGTTGTAGGTACCCAATAAATATTTGATGGATGAATGAGTTGTTAACCTTTACTCCAGTTTTCTTGAGTAGAACTCCAAGGAATGTTGAAAGTCATCCTCCTTCTAATGGATGGGAAATCAAGCCCTTTATGTTTTGATTTGAATAAAGAAAGTGGCTCTTTCTCTCTTGCAGGAAGAGCCAGGTTAGATTTCGTGGAAGGCTGGTAAATTATGCTTTAATATGTTAAACTAGGTGGAAACATCATTACTAGAGAACAATTTAGATAGTGGGGAACTTTGGCTCAACATGTGCTGTGCTGATGTTTTCCAGTGCCTTTGTGGTTCGTACAACTTTCTGGGATCTTTTGATTAATAGAGAAAAGTTCATAAATCAGCAAAAAGAGGAACTGTAGATTTCTACCTATGTTAAGCAATCACCTGATATCTGCGTAGGACGACCTCTGGCACCTGGCTACACCGCTGAACTGAATAATTCACTAAATATTTTGGTGTGCACCCCTGTATATGACTTTTGGAGGGGTGAATATTGTGGGGCAGACTTCAGTGGAGTAAAACACGGCTGTTGAATTATTTACGTTCACTTGAAAACCACAGAACACAAAACCCAGTGATTTCACCTCAGCATTTCCAGCCTCCATGCGCAGACTTTGGCTGGTCCTTGACCAACAGAGGATCCAGGTCGTGTCTCCATCAGGGCCAATTGGAAGGTACGACCTAACACTCTACTCTGTAAAGGGTTGTTAATCGGCAGGCACCTCTCTCCGAGGACAAGGAAACAGTCTACTAATGAGACTTATTATTCCTCTGACCACTTCCAGTTTTTGTGAAATTAAGTTAATGTGAACATATCTTCCTGCGGTGCTGGCTTGTGTGTCTGTGTGTGTGTGCGTGTGTGTAGGCATGTGCACTTTGTTTCATTTTATACTTTCACAAATAGCCAGCAGACTGCAGAGGGCATGGTCAATCAGTCCTCCAGTTCCTGGCAAGGAATTACAAAATGAAGGAAATCAGCTTTAAAAGCTTTTTTGGCCCCTCAACTTATTATTAAGCTAAATCTAGCAAGGATATGAGGGGGAGAGGAGGCAGTATAGTCTCCGAGGAAACAAGCCTGAAACTATTTAGAGACACGGTATCTACAACTTCTATTAATAAAAAGAGAAAGAGTTCTCAATACCTTCCTCTCTTCCTAAGGTTTGAAATAATCCTTAAAGCCAACATAATTACAGCATTTATTCCCAGTCAACATCCATTTTGTTAGCATTCTCAAACCTCAGCCCTGCATATCCTTTACCACTAGAAACTACATCATTTAAACTAAAAAAAAAAAAAAAAAGTTTACTGTAAAACAAAAGCAAAGACTCATAATCATATGTGGTTCTAATTCTTAGCAAAGACAAACAGTTTGCAACAGAAATTAAATGACTAACAACCAGATCTATTCTTTACTTGGTGATCCTGGGCTGACCTCTTTTTCATAAGAAGTACTTCTGTTGTCGTCCCTGGACAGCAATACCTATTGACAGACAGGATTCTGTCTGTAAAGGAATAATTGTAATTCACAGAGCAGATTAAATGTAAATGATCACAGACAAGCTTTTCATTTTTTCCTAAACGCCCCAGACCCAAACCTCACTAGACTATACTTTCATAACTTCTACATAAGGATTTCACTAAGAGCACACTCTTCCTTCCAGCTCCTACCTAGTGCTGACAGTTGGGCTTCACCACTGAGAACTGGCAGTCTGACTCACTGCAGCGACTGAGAACAGGGGCCGCCACATCATGAAGTTCAAGGCTTCTGTAAAAGAAGGGCCAGACAGTGTAACCACACTAGTTAAATAAAGGCCTAAGGCAAAAAGGCAAAATAATTCTGGGGAAAACTCTCCCAGGTTTTGCTTTTACTGAGGACTTGTTGATTTAAGGGGTTTTTGTTTGTTTTGTTTTGCTTTGTTTTGTTTTTTGCTTCTACTCAAAGAAAAGGTTTGGTGTAAAGTATTTATATGTGGCTTCTTGACCTTCCAAGTGATTATTGAAAAGTATGCTGTGAGAAGACTTTAATCCCAAACTATCTTTCTCTACAGCCTCAGATCATTGCAATTTTTGGTGCTCAGAGGACAGGCAGAGAGCAGAACACTCCGCTGTAATGTTACTTACTTGTTTATAGGCCTGTCTCCCCTACTCAGCTGATAACTTTATCAAAGGCAAGAACTGTGCCCTTTGCATCTTTTTATTCCCACGGCCTCGTCTGCTGCCAGGTACACAGCCAATAAATATTTGTCAAATTAATCCATGGAGGTAAATTGAAAGTACGTCGTTAGTATTAATTGGCAAGGCCTTCTGTGGGCAAGTAAATGGGCCCACTAAGTCCTGGGTAACCACGGTGTCTTCTGAGGCCCAACATTAAGCCCCTTTCCCTTCTCCTTGCCAAGAATGGAGCCTAGAAAAGCCTCAGTTTGATTCTCATATTTAGATCATGCTGAGTGCAGACCCCAACTATAATGCATTTCTTTCTGAGGCTGTTGGCATCTCTGGAGTCAGGAAGTAACATCTGCTTCAGTGAGCTGATTACCAATGAGAAAAAAGGGTAAAGAGCAGCATTAGGTGGGGTCTGACTTAGCTTCAAAGCAGGCATGTGGCGTGTATCTTAATGAGGGTTTACATATTCAAGAAAGATACATCTGAAGGGCAAATTAACTGGTTCAAGACAGAGGACATAAATATGATGTGGCCGATCAGATTGCTGTCGGTTGACGCCACACCGTCTTGTAAAAGCCTTCATCTTTATGCTCCCCTTTCAGGTCTCCCTGCATGGCTCTAGTCAGTACCCTGTTACCTCAAGTCTGGATTGCTAGAGTGGTCCTCATATGATCTATCTTCCTGGATGTCTCTGCACCTAATCCTGCTCCACCAACTAGAATGTTAATCTCCCTAAAACACCATTTTTATTTGCTCAGAAACCAAAGTTTCCCCCTGTTCCTGGCATGCAAGAATTTCCAGGAAGATCTGGCCACATCCACGTTTCCATGCTACTTCGCAACACCATTCCAAGCCAACTCTCCATCTCACCAGCATGGTCTGTTCACTCAGGCAGAGTCTCCTGCTTCCTTCCTGCTATGTTTGTTGCCCTATTTGCCTGCAAAGTTCTATTTACATTGCTTCGCTTATCCAAATTCTGTCCATCTGTCCAGGTTCAGTTCAGACCTCCCCTACCCCACAAAGCTTCCTGCTGTCATTTTAGTCCTCACAGGCACTTCCTCCTCTGAACTACTATAGAGCTATAGGACGCTGGGAGGGAATTAATGTGTATCTGTATTTTAAATATCTTTTGGTTCAAACATTATTCAGTGAAATAAAAGCACAAGTTCTTTAGGAATCCCACTGTCAGCTCACAGACTGTCCAGAGTGGAGACCTCCTGTGATGCAGAGAACACAGCCCCAACTAATGAGGTAAGACAAGCGACCATGACAGGCTGGGGTGCTCTGGACATTTCATTCCCTTTTCTCTTCCCATCGTTGTCCCCTTTAATCATAACAGTGCATTAGAGTTATGTTTTTAAGAGTGAGCAGTATCAGCCGGAGAAAGGTTTTAATCTTAAGAAAACTTCCCTCTAAAGAATGAGAAGATCTAGTTGAATAGAATTTGCTAACTTGGATCTGAATGATGACAGCTTGAAGTGGGGCTGACTGGTTGAGTATAGGGCATGGTGGCAGAATGAAACTGAATTCCCCAAGGAGAAGTGGGTTAAAAAGGATGAAGGAGGGAATCTCAAAGGAGAAGTTATTCCCAGGCATCCATACAAGTCAGAGACGATGGAGCATGGGTGGCTTGAGGAGGACAAAAATGATGACAACAAAAATTTGCTGTATGCTTTGGACTCTATATGGATTTCTGAGAAGTTATGAGTTAGAGTGGGTTATTTTAGGCGATGGACTGATCATGTACCCATTTTCAGGAGATACAGAGAATAAAAGTAGTGATGGCCCAGCCTGTAAGGGACTAGATCTAGGGGCCCCAACAAAGAGATTCCCCTATAGAAATAGGAGGAGGTGGTGGTGGTAGTGGTGGTGGTGAGATGAATATGACATCAGGGGAAAACATACCTGACCGGTTCATGTAGCCATAACAGATGAGAAGACCATTTATCTAATGACAAATACATAAATTATAATAGAAACACCTAGAAGAAAATAACTTCTGAAGTGCTAGACTTAAACCTAAGGTCTAATCCCTGCCACTTATTCCACAAACACTCTTGACATTTATAATTTATAAAACCTTGTTTTTTTAGAACATGTTTTTCAAACATGTTTGATGGTCACCACAAGTAAAAAAAATATCTAAACAGGCTAATGTTTCATAGGAAAAAAACTTACTGAGTATGATATATTTTGACTTTTTCTAATTTGGTCTGGTCTTTTTAATTTAAAAAATTGAGGTCAAGTCCTACTGAATTCACTTCACGACCCACTAATAAGAAAACAAGTTAGAGCAAGTGGGCATGGCTGACTTCCAAGACCAGAGGACAAGAGCTGAGAGAGACTCAGCAAGCCTAGCTCCAAGTATGTTCTGAGGGATTGCCAGGTATACTATTGGTAAAAGATTGTAAAGGCGTTTAACTTTTAAACTTTATCCTTTATTGTTTTAATGCTTTAGTTGCAGGAAAACTCCTTAAGAAGCCACAGAAGGATGGAGGACTTGCTTGGGAACATGGGAATAGTCTAGAATCTAAGAATCTGCACCTCATTCCGCAGTTGTCCTTAGAAGAATAGTCATTCATAGCAAACCAAAGCTCAACCTCTGAAGGCAGGACCATGTCTTTATATCCCCTTCAGCATCCAACATGGTGCCTTGCATGACGAAAGTGCTCAATAAAATGTTTGATCACACATGTTGAGATTAATAAATTCCAGAAGAGTGGAGTGGCTTTCAACTCTTAAAGGGTATTATCCTTTTTCATCAACATGTACTCACATTTCTCACTGTATAATCCCAGATTCTGATCCTGGGCCTTTCACCCACCTATGCCTTCATTGATAATTGCCTGCTCCAGAAGACATGTAAAAGGAAATGAGCATTATTAATGGGTTGAAAACCATTAAGCTCCAAGCACACAGCATAACTTATTTAAATTATGCAGCAATTTTATGAGATAGGTATTATTTTCTCCATTTTAGATGAAGAGACTAGAGCTCTATGAGGTTAAGAGATTTGACGAAGGCCATGGAGCGAGGATGTACGAAAGCCAGGATTTCAACCCCCATCTGGATGATTTCTGAAGCTTACATTTTTTCCATGTCTTCAGAACAGGTCTCATATGGACATCAGGGAAGTCAGGCCTTTCAGGCCTTAGTGGAATGAATACTAATCTAGGTGCAAGTGTTACCTCTTCCAAAACTCTCCTTGTGGTCTGGGCATATTGGTTAACCTCTTTAGGTCTCGGTTTTTCTACATGATCTAAAGTGTGGATCATGCCCTCCTCACAATAGAACCATTGTGAAGATTAAATGAGGTAATAAGTTATATGAATTATAAACCGAGGACTATTTCATAAGTGTGAAATGCTATTTAAATGGTATTTATAGGATGCCTTGACATCCTATAAGGAGATGGTAAATGTGATGATAACTTTTTATAAATTATCTGGCATCCTGCCTGAAAAAGATAAATAAATAAATTACCTGGCAACCCTGCCTGGCATGCTGCTCAATAAATGTTCCTTTCCTTTCTTATTCCTTACGTGGTTGTGTGAGAAATCCATGTAAATCAACCCAAGAAAACCAAGTAGGTAAATGCTAGACTGGCAAGACACAGGTCAAAGATGCCAAGTAGTGCCCTCCAGAAGGGAAGCAGCCAGGACTTGAGAGCCCAACTTTAAAAGGTACAAATTTGCTGATGTCCTTCTGCTTTGCAGTCTTGTCTACAGACTACATGATTGACCCTGAGTGGTGAAGGTTTGAATTCAAGGTTGCCAAGCAGCAATTTCAGGTAGGGCCTCCTTGCCTTTGAAAACTAAATGGGAAACTAGCTCAAGCAGCAATTATTTATATCTCTGTCAGTCTGGGGTAACCCCAGCAGTATGCATTAGCTTGGGGGAAGATCAAGGGAATAAGAGACAGTTTTGTGCCTATTTGAATGAAGGGTCATTGATACTTAGCTGCTTCCCAGTGTCAGTACCAGAAGGTGTTGTCATCTTCTTCAAATGGTCTCCTCATTATCCAGGTGCCTCAACTCTTCTTCACTACCAGAGTAAACTCTAGTTTATTACAGATTTCAAAACTAGATCCTCCAGGTCACCTGGAAGTCAGAGGACCATGGTAATGAAGACTCATCCTTTCAAATTCTCTTTCTTGTCCAGCATTTGTGCCACAACTGCTGGATTTCCAAGTTAATCACTTACAAGTCATATTCCTTTTTCCTGTTGCCGCCTCCCAAATGCATTTCCTAGGCATCTTCCTCTGTTTATGCAACTTTGTCCCCCAATTCATAAGGAAGCTCTGCTTGAGAGTGTTGTGAAAGATAATTCCGAGCCCTAGTTCACAGGAAACAGGACAGAAAGATCTTCAAGTCACTGCCAAGACCCAATGTCAGGATGGAGTAGAGATAGTATTTTCCCGGCCTCAGAAGACTTGCATCTTCTGCCACTGAGGAGGTCACACGCAAGGCTAGGAGGATCTTAAGGTAGCTCACAGAGTTGTGAGAATCAAGTGAGCCACAAGCAAACAGACCTTGTAAATTACAGAATGTTTTACAAATGCAAGGAAGTTTTTGTGTCAGAGGCTGGAGAGCCTGCGACTCACCTCTCCCTCCTTCTATGTTCTGACTGATAGGAAATAGATATAAAAACAATCCAGTATCAACTTTACAACTGGTAGAGATAAACATCTAATATCCTTCAAAATGTAGGATCTGGTAATGCCTGGATTAGAGAACACACATTGGAACTGAGGCCAACATTAAACTTTTCTAATACTCTCCTGAATTTAGGCCATAGTATCTACCTGACAGATTGACTTCAGCTGAGGAGCAGGCTCCAGGTCTGTTGCCCAATCAGCTGTGGACCTGTAGCCAAAGGGAACTCAGGGGCTGGAGTGCCCAGACTCTGCCCACAGCTAAAGCCATGGCTTATGAATGGCATGGGCTCCGACCAATCAGATCACTCTCCCTCCGATGGGGAGGAGGGAATTAGGTGAGTGAAGAAAGAGGCCCCCAACAATCCCCAAGGAAAGAGAGGGCAGAAAGCCAATAGAAATATCGGGGTGGAGGCAGGGGGAAGAATAAATGTCCTTCATTTATCAACATTTTCTATGGAGGGCAATGGCATCATAATTTATATTTCCTGTGCAAAGCAAAGAGACTCATAATTTTTAATGTGGGTAAATGACTTCTGTTGCATCCTGGTGTTGCAATTACCCTCTCTGTATTTGGTTCACTGTGATTAGTTAGGAACTGTGTTGGAAGCAAAAGCACAAGTTCAAGATCAAGTGTGATAAAGGAGCTCAAGAAGCTCCTAATGGGTGGGTTAAAGGCTAGTGAAGAAGGCTTTGGGTTCTTTTAGTGATTTATATAAGCCTGCTTGCAGTAACAAAATATACTTAGGGCTACTTAAAAACCTGATTCTTGAAATTCAAGCTGGGAAGATAATTTTGTTATAGACTTGAGTTTATTAGCCATAACCCCCTTTTCCCCATTAAAACAATTGTTTTTAACACAGATTTTTCTCAGGAAGACAATAATCATATGGTAGAAGACAGACAATGTTTTGTTCATCAAATATCTGGTAAGTATCTAGCATGTGCTGTACACCATGAGGGATACAGAATTAAATAATAAGTTGCCTTTTCTCTAAAGAGCCAATAGAAGAGTAATGAAAGTCACTAATAACATAATGTGAGCTAGATGTATAGAGTTAGACTCAAACTGGAACAGGGTAAATGCTCAGAGTGGGATCCACATACATATTAAGTAATAGGGTAATGCTAGTTTGGGGAGTGGGGATGGGGAGGACTTTTTGGAAGGACAGAGAGACTCAGAACTTCAGGGAGGAGGTGGCATTTGAGCTGAGTCTTTGTAAAGTGGGTAATATTTAGACATATAAAGAAGACAGATAAGACATGATAGACAAAACAAATAGCAAGAGAAAGACACAGGGTAGGGTGCAGATTTGAAAGAGAGAGTAGCTGCTATTGGACTACATTGCAGTGCTCGCTGAAGGGAACAATGAAAAACAAGGGACTTTGAACTCTGCTGTCCATGGTAGTGGGGCCTTCTGACAAAACCATGAGCAAATTGCAGGCTGTCTTGCCTATTTGGTATGTATGAATTTGGGCTTTGTCTCCCAAAGAACTGGAGATGGAGGGAGGCTCTTTGGGAGGCTGTTGTGATTGTCCCAGTGGGGTTAGGTTTGTCTGAGCTAGGATGGAGCCTGTGGGAACTGCAAGGAGAGGATGAATGGGAAAGGCAGTGCTCAGGAAGAACTAATGACATCTGATGCACTTGAGCTTAACCCAGTGGCAGCCATGGCCCATTTGCATTAGAGATTCTCCTCAGCCACATAATTTGTAAATTTTTTTTTATCAAGAATAAATATAAAATAACATAGATAAATACAAGTTAGCTTCAACCTACTGATTTTCCAGCACTGCTTATTGCCCTGCCCCATTTTCAAAGCTTGAAAACACCTGAGCAACTTGCCCATGAGTTTCAAACCCAGCTCACCACCTCCACTTTCTGTCCCTTTTTAAAATTTCTTTCATAAATAGGGCTGCCATGTGCCAGCTCCTTTGCACAAAGTGTCCCATAGCTATAGAATAGTTTGAAAGTCACAGCTAATCCAAACTTTATAGATGAAGGATCTGGAAGGATACTGCAATTTCTGGACTCTGGGTCAGATCACAAAAGAAATAGATAATAAATCCCCTTTTCAATATGCTGAATTTCCGATTTCTCTTTCAATATTGTAACCCCTGCTGTGTCATTATTATTCTGTTTTTCATCCTGGCACAATATTAACATCAGAGCTGGTTATAGATTTATCAGTATTCAGATGTGGCAAAATCAATCATTTAAAAAAAAAAAACACACCAGCATCTAGATGAAGGGCCGAAAGAAGTAGAGATTCATGCCTGGGACTTCTCTACCTTGTCTCGTAATTTGTGTGTAGTACCATTTCCCTCAAATATCTAATATTCCATTAAAAAACTCATAGAGTCAGGTTAATATGGATTTTCTGTTTGTGGCTGGAGTGTTCGTTTTTCTAAAACACAAAATAATTACAAGCCACTAATCCTCACAGGGGTGGGAGTTGTTGACATAATCAAAAGATAATTTAGAAATCCAGAAATGGGTCTGAGGGGTCAAAGTGAAAAAGTAAGTAAAATGTGTCATCCTTTTAATAAATGCATACTCCCTGAAGAAATCTGGAAAATGCTAACAATATAACACAAATCATTGAATTTCTAAAGAGGATGGATGGAATGCAGCTTTGGCAACATTTCACTGAGCTCTTTTGACATGCCTCACATTTTGTGATGACTATCATGTGCTTTCTCCCCGTCCTCACATTGGACCAGGGTTTCTGAAACCCTGTTGTGCACACAGATCAAAATGCAGATTCCTATTCAGTAGATGTGAAATGGGTTTGGAATTCAGGTGACACTGCTAGTCCAGGGACTGCACTCGGAGTAGCAAGGCTATACATACTGCTCTGCCCTGACCCTGTGGAGTCGGACCACCTTCACAGGGTTTCCTGTATCCATGCAGCCAGTGCTCCCTGAAATTCTAGGGAATAGTGGGCATTACTGAGGCAATAGGGTGGGGCTCAGAATTAGACTCACTCAGATACAGCTAGGACAGTATCACTTGACACATAAGCTGTTGTTTGAAGAAAGAGCTCAGTTATTAAAAAGGAATTTTTAAAAGTCTGGAAATGATAGCTCTAGACATTTTCATCTTCTCTTCATCAAGGAAAGCTAATGCTTGCTGAGAACTTATAGGGCACCAGACCTATGCAAATGGATTGTCGAAGGTCACACTTTTGAGGAGCAATGGAGAAGACAGGATAGGATCTCAGACTTGTCTTATTTTACCTGAAGCACAGGTTATTTCCTATGCACTATGCTTCCTTCCTGTCCTGCTTCTATGCTGTGTCCTAGCTCAGGGGTCTAATGCTCTGCTTTCTCTAGAGAGAGAGCTCCCTAATATGAGAAACTATCCAGTACTTACTAGTGTAGTCTATAAAGAAACAGTGGGAATAAAAGGTCACCACACATATATCAATTGTATTTCTATATATAGGCAATGAAAAATTAGAAACTAAAATTTAAAAATATATACCATTCACAATGTCTCCAAAAATTGAAATATTAGTTATAAATCTAACAACTGTTACTAACTATATAATAACTGTGACTAATATGCTATAGTTGCTACATGTTC